AGTTTCTTTGGTAAGGGTCTACGTCTCACACCCATACATCAGCACTGGTCTAATCACCGTTTTATATATTCTAATCTTTTATGTTCGTGTTAGGCTTTTAGATTTAGTAGTATTATGGAGGCTGTACATACATCTGTGAGGGAGCTTTGTAACTGGCTACCTACATCGTGAGAGTTGGAAATCTTTTGATTCCAAGCCTTACGTCAAAGGACTTGTGAATGGATGCATCTTCATAGGTTTGGATCTTCAGTGACCGTTGAAAGATAAGGATTCTTAATTTGAGCAATTATAGCTCCAGAGAAATAAAAGCACTTTTGAGTTTATTGATTTATAATTAAATCCTTTAAGAGTAGAGGCCCAACACGGCCGTAACTTACTGTACAATATCAAATGTACTCTTTCTTTATAACACGTAAAACAAACCGTTATGAGAAATAAACATGAGAAAATGCCCTAATTCGGCGGAGAGAAATGTTATATTTAACACGTGAATTGCGAGTTCTTAACTACCCGCGCCTGCTCGAGGCCATGTGTCGAACTGGGACTAGGGCTGAGCTGATACTGAAACTGAACTAATAAAAACTGCATAATGCGTAAAATGGGAATAGTGCTTAGGTGTGAAAAATATTTAACATATGTTAGACGCCAATCCGTCGCAGATAAAGTGATAAAGTGACTTCTAGTTATTCTACACTAAGAAAAGTCAAAGAATTATATTTTTATTTTATATTTTAAAACAATATGTTCATTTCTGGAACAATCTGTTTGCTGCCTGTATTCTTCCTTTATGTGAGACAAACTCACTGATGACAACCAAACGTGACGGCCGGGGCTCCCTACGAATTTGTCTTGGACCCGAGGCTATGGAACCTGGCATATGACAGGGTTATGAACTGTGAATACGGAGACGTCGTCGTAAAACATGGATGACGCAGCACGGACTGAAACCTGCGGCAGAAAAAACCGAATCCATCATTTTGAAGGGAAAAAGGAACAGGCAAAGTGTGGAAATACAATGGCTAATTGGGGCATGTCTAACAGCCAAGAAACACGTAAAGTACCTAAAGGTGTCGTTGCATCAGAATGAAAAATTGGGAAGCTGGGAATAGTGCGGCTGCGTTAGAAAGGGTGATGCCCAACATTGGAGAATCTAAATCCGAAAGGAAGAGTGCCCTACACGGTGTTGTGCAGTCCATTGTCCTCTAGGCGGCATCACTCTGGAGTGAGTCGCTAGAGATAACGGCCTATAGGAGGCTCATGACACGAGTGGACTTAACAAGTCCATTGTGAGTAGCATGCACCTACAGGACTTTGTCTACGGCAGCCTTGTCGACCATCACTGGATGTGTTTCGTTGCGTGTTCTGATGGTGGAAAGAAAAGAGATACGTATCCTATGAGAGAAAACTATGGCCGAGAGAAGATAGGAAAGGGAAAGGTCAATTGAAAGATAGCAAGAAGAATGGAATCACACGGACGAGGTGGTAGTGGACAAAGATGCTGATCCCAAACATAAAAGATTGGGTGTACTGTGGCCACAGGAGACTGGATTATTTTCTAACGCAGGTGCTCAAAGGACAAGGGTGTTTTAGGGCCTACCTCTCTAGGTTTGGAAAGGCTAACACAGATGAATGGCTATACTGCGGACACTATGAATTAAACAGTATTATAGTGCAGCAGATAAATAGGAGAAAGAAACAGAATGGGAAGAGAGACAAGTGTGAATTCTGTTACAGTGAGAACATGATCGAAAATACAGCAAGTTGGACTAGTGCACACAACTAAATCCGTGCTGTGATCAAGAAAAAAGAAGAGGAAGAAAGACAGCTGAACCGACGGTAAAGATAAGAGGAAAAGGTACTGGATTCCAGATCGTTGGATGACAGAAGTGGGTCTGGTTTAGCAGATAGAGATTCGGCGTAGACTCTTAAGAACTATCGCCAGGAGGACGAAGAATGAATCCTGCAATAAGGTCAGTCAGGCGGCGTTCTGGACTGAGATTTTTTTTTAAGATTCCAGACCCCCATCTACAAAGACGAAAAAAGGATAAATTAGCTTAGAATTGAAGAAATTAGAATATATGTAACGAGATTTGCTTTATTATGTCCAATATTGAGCAATATGAAATATCCTTAATTACGTAAAAAATTATGTCCAATCTGAGCTGAGATTGATAAATATTTAGATCTGTTGTATATTGTATATTTTACATTGTTTGAGACATCTTGGACCGGAGGCAAAATATATGCCAAAAGAAACAGCTGCAGTATTATAGTCTCTTTAATGTCAAAAAAAAAAAATAAAATAAAACTAAAATTTAGGGTAAGCGAAAAAAAAAACTAGTGATTATATCTGCGTTGCCGATGTATCTAGTTTTATTGCTGCCAAGTTTTGCCATCTCTGTAGCATCATAATATCGACAGCTCTGGCTTATTATTGTTTGGCGTGTTTTATGCAGCTTCAAAAATTTTTACTCCGCCTTTGTGTAAAACTTTGTGAGGCTCAACATTCTCTGGTTCTTCGATGTCTTCACCGCCTTCACTTAACAAGAGCAACAATTTTTCCATGAGTTATTATATACTGGTCATTGCTTAAAAACTACTCTCCTATATCACATAAAGACGCATCCTCACATCCAGGGATAAGTTTCACTAAGCGCAAAATATTTTCATGAACTTCAACCGAAGTGCTGTTCGCGGTTTTTTCATCTTCATCCAACAGCTTATCCCAGGACTTGGCAATTGTTTGTGCCCCAACTTTATCCTACGCACTTGAGAGTTAGTAGGAAACATCTTTCAAATTTATGGCTTCCAGTGTAGGGATTAATTCTTGGCCATCATTCATTTGTTGTATCATGGTTGATAGAAGGATTCTCCGATAGTTTATTTTCAGCATCTCCAAAACACCCTTGTCTCTATGTTAACAGAAAGCTGCGACATTCGGAGGGAGGAATATGACCTTTATTTTTTAGTTCATTTTCACATCACAAACGAAGAAATAAAAATTGAGGAGGAAGAGCTAAAGGACGCATTAAGAAAATTAAAAAATGGAATATTACCAGGGAGAGGACAGAATACCGATCAAACTTCTAAAGTACGGAGGACCAGATCTAACCAAACAACTATTAAAACTAATTCAAAAAATAATAGAATAAAACAGAATTCCTCAAGAATGAAGATCAAGCATCCTAATACCTCCCTTCAAAGAGGGAGACAAATCGGATCCGGAAAATTACAGAGGAATTAATTTATTAAAGACAACACTAAAATTAACAACCAAAGTGATAACAAATAAACTGAATTAAATTGTAATACTAGCAGAAGAACAACAAGGTTTTAGATCGGGAAGATCATGCACCGACGCTATATTTACAATGAGGCAAGTGCAAGAGAAATCTGTGTTTCGTGGACCTTACAAAAGCATTTGACCGGGTCAAATTAAAAGACGTTATCCAATTACTGTATGCAAGACCTAGGAATAATCAAAGCGATCGAAAATATCTACCAAAACAACACAATAAAAGTAAAAGTAGACGAAGAACTAACCGACCCTATTGAAACTGGCAATGGGATAAGATAGGGAGATTCCTCTATTGTTCAACCTGATTATTCATGAAATAATAAAAAAAGTAAGAACACAAAAAGATACCAAAGGGGGGAAAAACAACTTAAAATAATCTGCTATGCAGACAACGCAATACTACTCTCAAAGTGAAGATGATTTACAACGTATGCTGCACTAATTTAATATAACATCCAGAAAATTTAACATGTTAATTTCCCCAACAAAGACAAAATGCATGGTTACAACAGCAAATTTACTAAGATGTAAATTGGAACTGGAAGGTCAGATAATAGAACAAGTGATGGAGTTTAAATATCTAGGCATCACATTATCTAGCTACGGAAAGCTCGAAACCGAAGTGATAGATCAAGTGAATAGAGCAAACAGAGCCGCAGGCTGCTTAAATAAAACAACATGAAGATATTAAAATGATATGAAAAGAAACGAAAGGTATAATTTACAAAACAGTCATCAAACCAATCATACGCGGCAGAAACAAGACCTGACACAGAGAGGACAAAAAGGATGCTAGAAACAGCAGAGATGAAAATACTTGAAAACTTGATCGTAAGACACTATGATGCAGAGCTAAAAGTACAGATATACGACATAGATGTACGGTGGAGAACATTAAAAACTGGGTAAGAAATAGAAGAGTAGAATGGAACGATCATATAAGCCGAATGACAACAAATAGAGTAGTAAAGACGGCAAGAGACGGTTCCCCAATAGGAAGACGATCAGTAGGAAGACCACGAAAACAATGGAATCACGACTTACTGTAGGCACATTGACAGAGTGATGTCTATATAAAAAGAAGAAAAGGAAGAAAGAAGTTTGAAAGAATTTTATTGTTTTTTTTATATTTAAAAGTACAAACGATTTTTATTATGATTTTTTTCTGATTTTTTTTTTCTTTCTTGTCTTATTTGTATTGCTATTAAGGCTAAAAAATAACCAAAAAATTAGTTTTGGAGCATTATAATAAATATACTCATACTCATACTCATACTCATACTCATACTTATACTCATACTCATACTCATACTCATACTCATATACTCATACTCATACTCATACTCATACTCATACTCATACTCATACTCATACTCATACTCATAATCATACTCATACTCATACTCATACTCATACTCATATTCATACTCATACTCATACTCATACTCAATAAGAGATGGGATTTCAATAAATCTTAATTCCTATGGTCAACAAAACAATGTCGTTATCTGTATACTATAAACTATATGCAAAGTTCTGAAAAGTAAATATGAGTACAGATTTAAACAAGGCACTTTTACAGTTCAATAAATAATTGTAGAGGAAAGATAAATAATTTAAGTTTTATTTGGTATTGCTGTTATATCAATAATTTTTTAAATATAATATTTTACAGGAATTATAAAAACATTTATGATTTTAGCGGTCAATTCCCAGAAATCTAGTGCAAAAGATATCTTACAAAATATTAAAAATGTACAAAATCAACTTCTTAAACTACCTCAGATAGAAGGATTGGCAACAAGTCAACGAGAAACTATAAAAAAATTAGAAATTACCATGAAAAACATTGATATTCTGAGAGACGTTGGTAAAGTGGTTGTTGGCAATACCAACAATCTCATGGAGAAAACAAATAATGGTATGTATATTTTAAAACGTTAACCAACTGTAAAAATATATTGGGTTGCAGGTTTGGATTCTCAGAAATCTAATTTTCAAGAAGTTTTAAAGATTGTTAAAAACCTACCAAACCAACTTCACAATATTCCACAAATTGATCAATTAGCAGCTGCTCAACGAACCGCTATCAGTAAATTGGATGATACTGTGAAAAATATGCATGGTTTAACAAAAGACACAGCTACACTTATGAAAAGTGTTTCCAGCACAAACAGTGGTATGTAGATTTTTTTGTTGGGTTATACTTACTGCCAAAGTACTCGATTTTTAAATGTAAAACAATAAAATATTTTACAATCGTCCATTATACTTATATTATTTTTCATCAAAGCATCCAATTTATACAGCCACATTTACTTCTAAGATTGTTATATACAGTATCAAGACCACGATTATTATCACTACAAGTACTATATCATATAAGCTGTATGCTTCTGCGGGAGTTATTCCTGTTTGAATATTCTAATTTATGGGGAAAGTCCCTACGTTTTGAATGTTTAAAAACATCTGGAATGTTTTTTCATTTTCCATTGTATTTGGGTTTTTCCGATGTTTCCCATTATCATCTTTTCTATGTCTTCTTTCACCTATTCCCTCTATCGTATATCTGGTCCATTTCTGACTCTTTTACTTGTCGACATCCATTCCGTTTTTGATATTTGTCTTCTACCTTCTCCACCTACCTTTTTGTTATTTTTCCTAATTTTTTCTAATTTTCATGTATTCTTGTATTCCATGGTTCATACATCATTATTGGCCGTTTTTTTTTTGTCATAAATTTTAATTTTTTATGCTTTAGCTTATTTTTTACTTCTATTTTTTTTAAAACGCAATATTTTCAATTTTAATTCTTCTTTTTAAAACTAATATTCCATTTTTTATGTTAACTAGAACCCTTAAGTATCTTAATTTCTATTTTTCCTATAAAGTTCCTCTATAGTCCCAACAGAAGTTATTGTTAATATTAATTTGCAGCTATAACAATAACTAAATACTATTTTTATTGGGAATAAGCCACAATTTAAGTTTAAAATAAGTTTATTGAGGTTTCAATTTTCTTTCCGAAAATCGTTTTAAAAATATAAAACATTGCTTAATGCTTTGTATTCTACATTCAATCTCTACAACCTTACGCAGTGTTTGAAACCAGAAGTGGCCTTCCTTGGACATCTCATCCTTTCATCTCACGGAGTGAACACCGTAGTGCAGTCATTGAAGCGAAAAATACGGTCTTATTTCCGAATTTTTTTACTGTGAACCGATTTGCATGAAATTTTGGAATTAGGCTCATCTTACCCTTAACTTCAAAAGTGAAAATGATCTGAACTTCGATTATTATTTTTAAGGGGTGTGAACAACTCCTTAATGGAAAAATTGGCATTGAGCTAGATTTTTGGGTATTTTATCACTAGAAAACATGTCTAATAGTTAATGGTGAAATTGTAAAGTGTTTTCTAACACAATTACCTCATATTAAAATCATTTTCAACCCCTTGAAAATCTTACAACCCTTGCAGATAACCCCTAAATTGAAAAAATCACAAAAAAATACTTTGGTATGACATAAAAAGATGTAAGTATAAAGTAATATTTTATATTCTTTATAATAATTACCAAATTTTCAACCCCCTTTTAACCCTTGAAAACTACCCTTGATAAAAATTTTTGAAAAAATTTTTTTTGATAAAATGAAAAGGATTTAAATATTTAAATGATTATCATATTCTTAAGCTTTTCTACCCTAAAAACTGCTAAATTAAAACAGTAAATATATATGATTACATATTTAAAAATAATTTAATTTCGAGTAAAAAATTGCCATTTATTAAATAAAATATTTACAAATTTTATAAAATTGTACTATTATTATTAAAATATAATATTATTATTCATGACTCAATGTCGGACTCGCTGTCACATTCAACATCTTCTGGCAGAATTGTAGGGCTTTTTTGGCAGTTATCTCCACTGCACGTTTCACAGGTACTATTACAAAACAGCTAACTCTTAGACGCTCCACATCCTTTTTTGCAGTTGCAAAAAATCAGTTTTAGGAGTTCTTGTGGTGCGGGTGGATCTACAGACTTAAGTGGATTTAATAAACCGTCATATATACTTACATTTTTTTATTAGACAAAATGTATTGAAATTGGGTGTCTAGTTAAAATATTATATTAAACACGTATTCATTCCTTTGCAGTAGGGATGGCGGTTTTTGACAAAACACCGGTTTTCGGTTATACCGGTTTTTTTGCTTACGGTTTAACCTGGCAGTTATAACCGGCCAAAAAACCGGTTTTTCCAAAAAACGGTTTTCGGTTTTTTTATTCCAATAGTTAGAAAGTTACATTTACAATGCACTTTAGTTTGCGATACTACATTCGACTCGATATCAATATGATCAAAATTAGTACTATCGAAAGAACATCAATATCAATGTAAATACAACAAAATTTTTTGTGTTTTTTGAGAAAAAAATTCCCCAACAAAAATTTCCCAGACTCTTTCAAATGGGATTTAAACATGGGGATATCAACATAAATATTTTACTTAAAAATAAATTGGATAATGCAATTCATCTTTTATTTTTACTACCATCAAAAAAAATTATCATGTATTATTATATTAACTCATTTACGACTTCCGGTATGGGTATAAATCGTTTTGAAAACGTAGGGAAATCCTTAGAGATTCGTATTCGTAATCGGTAACTCGATATTCATAGCCATTATTTTTGGTAATCAGAAAAAGCCATTTACCCACTTTCAATGTCAAGAGTCAAGTGTGAAAAATAGATGATGTATAAATAACAGATCAGTTCTTATGTAAAAATATTATGATTACAAATACTTTTTCAACGAAATACTATAATAAAATTTAATTGTTTCTGGCTGATGTGAGTGACTTTCAGTTTGCTTCTGTATTTATAAAATAAAATAAAAATTGAATTTTAGTTTTGTTTGGAATAGTTACTTAAGAATAATAATTATGATTGGGTGGGATCCAAAATAATACCTAACCTAATCCTAATCACTGTAAAAACCTAATAACCGGTTTTTACTTTAAAAATAAAAAACCGGTTATAACCGGGACAAAAAACAACCGATAAAACCGGTTATTTCGAAGTAAAAAAACCGGTTTTCGGTTAAAACCGGTAGGTTTTTCCCATCCCTACCGGTTTATTATAACGAATAAACGGAGCACGCACAGCTGATCACCTGGCTGGATCGTTGGCCCCTTCACTCAAATGTGTTATATATACATGTAAGAACGTTGGTATGTATTCATGCCTACTTTTCCAAAATATATGAGCCATAATATGCTGTTATAATATGCTGTTATATGAGCCATAGTATGCTATTATACTGCGTACTTTCACATTGCTCCAAACATTCACACTACGAAATTTTCAGTTACCAAGTAGAAAAAAATATGATAAGCTTTTGGACCATAACTCCTTTAATGTTCATGCTATCACAATTTATAAAAAATCATTGTAAAGGTAATTAAGAGAGCTACAACATCCTTTATTGAAATATATAGTAAAAAACCTTTTTCTAAAACGGTGAATGGTTAAAGGGCTTAAGAGAGGCTGTGATTGCGCTGCCACCCGCTCTTTAAACAATCATATCTCCGTCAATTTGTGTTTGACAGAAAAAACAAAAGAACCAAAGTGTTTTTCAGAAAATTACCTAAATTTTTTATTCGTACACTTTTATACGTATCTGTCGTCATTTTTGAGATATGAAAAAATGGTGGTTTTTTTTTAAATTTTAATTTTTTTTAATCGTGACTTTTTTGAAAAATATGTGTACTGAAGCAGCCAAACTGATATAATCTATGAAACTCTTCATAATAAAGTTAATTCTAGGCGGAATACGATTAATTTTAATTTTGGTGGAAATGGCACTTACGAAACCCATTGATTTAAAAGAAAAAAAAATTAGATGCTCCTCTTGTTTGCACTACAGCTCACTTATTTTACGTGCAAAAGACTTTTAATAGTGCAAAATAAAAAACGTCTTTGTTCTTTAATATCTAGCTTAATATTGCACTAGAATACTTTATAAAAAACCAAATTGTTCATTTTTTTACCTACTACAATTTTATTTTTTATACAATTTTCTATAAAACGTATATTTTTGGAGATATTTGCAAAAAAACCGATGAAAAACGTGAAAAAATTGCAAACTTTCAATTGCCAATAACCTGAAAGGTATTGGATTTTTCGAAAAACTTTATAAAATATTTTTTGCTTAAAATTAGGCCTTCTATCGATATGCCAGGTTATTTTGAAAAAAAAATTCACCCCCGAGAAGGCGTGGCAACCAACTCCAGGGTGGTTGCAAAGTTCAAATCATTTTCACTGTTGGAGTTAAGGGTAAGATACACCTAATTCCAAAATTGTATGCAATTTGGTTCTCAGTAAAAAAATTCGGAGCAATAATGCTTCAATGACTGCACTAAAAATAAAAACCGTTAAGGGCTGTCCAGTCCCTGTAGACAAGCATCAATTGAGATCCTTTTTGGGCTTGTGTTCATACTATCGTGATTATAGTTTATTCGTCTTCCGGGTTTGGACCGCGTCATTTGTGAGTGTCCCAAAAGTGGGTTCATCTCATCTGAGACTCGACCCACTTTTGGGTCACTCACAAATGACACGGTCCAAACCCGGAAGACGAATAAACTATAATTCTGACTCTGGCCGTGGAAGCCTACGATTTCATTCATACTATCGTGCTTTGTAAGAGAATTTGCTGACATTATAAAACCTTTACATAAGCTAACGGAAGCAGACCAACAATTTAACTGAAATAAACAGTGCCAAAAGATTTGATTGAATGAAAGACTCCATCACCACTGCACCAATACTGTCATCACCACATTCCAAGGCAAGTTTTATAGTCGACACTGATATTAGCAACTTGGATATTATAAAATCGAAAGAAATTATTTTGTAACACGAAGAGAATTACTTGCTATTGTAAAAACATTGGATTACTTCCATAAGTTTTTATATGGACAGAAGTTTCTTATTTCGACGAATCAAGCCCCTCTTCAATGGATCCTTCAATTTAAGAAGTTCGAAGGCATTATTGCTTGGTGACTGGAAAAACAGCAGATGTATAATTTTAATATTGAACATCGTAAGATACTTAACATCATCATGTCGATACCCTCAGTAGACGACCTATTTCAGAACACTGCAACCACTGT